TGATGATGGATTACCAATTTCGGAGTAATAACACACAAATAAAAAAGATCAATTACAAAAACGATTATGGAATTATAGCGGAGCTAGTGTCAAGACACATATAGACCATTTTTTTTGCATGCAAACTTTTTGCGCGCAAATTAATAATAAATGTTTCATCCAGATTACAATCCTATTATAGCAAATCTTCCAAAAAGTCTGGTTAAGAGAGCATATTATAGACTTTTACATCACTCTAGATCCCCCGTTACCTCAGAGCAAATTTCTGAAAAATGTGATCGAATTGAGACTTATTTGTATCATACATTAGAGGTATATGAAAAAGGATTAAATAAAAAGCGTAAAAAACAAATTAAAACTATAGAACCACTTGAAAATTTATCATATGATATAGACATGGCTAACCAAGAATCCAAAACTCTTCCAATTTGTAAATGTGATCATGAGGATGAGATCTATCACCAGGTTAAGAAAGAGGTCAATATTTTATTTCAGCGAGTAATGGAATATAACGAAAAAACTTTTGGTAAATTTATGTGAGAAATTACTATAGAGCATGAAAAGCGGGTTAATGAAAATAAGAAGTTACGATATGAGGTTGAAGAAAAGAAGATAGAATTGCAAGAAGCTGAAAAATACCTTGAATATCTGAAATCTTGATCCAGTTAGATAGAAAGATCAAGGGGCTGGTCCCATCCCTTGCGAAGATATAAAGCATCTTCTTTTGCTCTAGTTAAATTGATAACAATAAATTCTCTACCTTGTAGATTTTTATCAAGTATATCAACAACATCGTGCCATTTTTTTGTGTATCGTTGGGCAATGTTAACTAGTTCATCATATGTGCCCACGCCATTAAATAAACAAATGTAATCCAAATTTTTTCTTATTTTTCCAGGACAGTTGAAGAAAGATTGTGTGACATATATCTAGCTAATATTAGAGTGGCACCCTTCAGTAAAATATGGAATAATTCTATCTTGTATTTTTTTGGGCTCATTGCATACATCTTCGAATATAGCAACTGTTCCTCTTTTGGGAGAGAATTCTTCTATTTTTGGTATTTTGTCAGGTTTCAATGCTCAGAATGTAATATCTTCACGATATGGCTTTGGACTATTTTGAAATTATTCGGTAACAATCACACAAATGTCTATATTTTGGCTCCTTAAGGTGGTGACCAAACAAAACCAAATCATCATTCTTAATATATCTTGTTCCACCTTTTTTTCCACTAAACATTCAAAACATTTTATTCCCAAGTAAAAGACTAATAATCATATTAGTTTTCCCTGATCTAGTCTACCCTGATACTAGGACATTGAAAGGCCACTGTGGACATGAGTTAATACCATTAAAACATTCTGGATTTGTATACTCATTGATATTGAGTACAAAGATCTCACATGGGTCAAGTTTATTATGTACCATATTTATCCTATGAGTTTATTTCTTATATGATAAATAACCTCTCTCTTGTAATTTGCTTTTTATGTACAGAAATAAATCACAATCTAATGGCACCTCAATGAGATATACAGTGTGTTAAGAAAAAAATGGCGGTGACAAAAAATTGCATATCTCAACAATTACATAACATAATCAAATAA